CATTCAAATTACTTTCTTATGCTTTGTTAAAAAACTACAACAATTTTTCAGAGGCTGTAATACTTCCAAATTTTACTTTAAAAACTTCATTATGGATAATGTCAGCCATATCCAAAAGTAGAGAGAGCAATAGAATGAAGTCAATGTATTCATTGCCCAGCTTCCATCACAGTCTATGGTGTCTCATATGCTAGTATACCCTTACTCAGTCCCTGTCCTCCACTGTCACAGAATTATATTGAAGCAAATCTCAGATGTCATATCATTCCCTCCTTAAATTCAGTACATATTTTAAGAGATAGGGAATCTTTTAAAAATATAGCCATGATATTATTTTCACACCTAAAAGAAAGTAAAATTCTTTAATATCATCAAATATCCAATCACTCAAGAAATATACCCAAATCTAAGAAAGTCAAATGTCAAGGAAAAACATTACTTCAAAAGATGTAATACTCAAAAAAGAGCAAGCTACTCCCCTTCAAGAAAAAGGGAACAGCATTCTCTTATAGCAGAGAGCTGAAGGTCAGGGGCTATAGGGGGAATCCAGAAATGATATGTACAATTTGTAACATATGCATATGAAAAATTTTTTTCTTGGTTGATAGCATTCATGAAAATGTCAAACAGCTTGAGACTGAAAACATTTAAAGAACTTCTGCCCTTGGTTATGATTGTGTGATTGTGCCAATCACTTCACTGTGTCTGTAAGAATTAGTCAAATAGGGAAACAAATCCATCTAAAATAACCGCGATCAAACCGAATTCAACTCAGCATTTACTGAGCATACAGTAGATGCAAGACAATGGGTTACATTCTTGATAAACAAAAGTAAATTAGTTCTAGTGAATTTATAGTTTAGAAGGAGAGGGGATTCAACAGATTAATATAGCTATAATAGAATGTCATGAAAAAGATGCCTGCTGTAGGTATACTCATGGGGATCCAAATGAAAAAGCAATGAGGTTACTTGCGGGGGGGGGGGGGGGGGGGAGGAGGACGACGACCAGGGGTCATAAGATAGAAGAGAGTTATAGAAGATGTCAAGAACTGTACCATCAACTCCTGTCTGAAGATCTTCCTTATGCCCCTAGCATGAATAAACGTGTTCTGTACCCACTCACTGGGTAGGGTGGGAGAGGTGATTATGAAACTGGCGAGGTTACATGTAAATAGTATTTAGAAACTGAACAATTCTTTAGATCTGGAGAGGAGAGACTCCATGAAGAGAGAAGGGAAGCATTCCAGGAAGAGAAAAAGCAGGAACGAATGAGTGGAAATTACTGGCATGTTAGGGAACCAGCAGTGTGGTGACCTTCCAGCAGCGTGTGTGGGTGGGGCTGGCTGACTGGAAATGCCTGCTGGGACCAGAAGCTGGAGCCTTCCAGGCCAGAACTGAGCCTATATTCTGTGTCCAGAGAAAAACCATCAACACATTTTCACTGAACTAGTTCAATCTTTACAAAGTATGTCTCACCCTTAGGTGGATGGGTGCCCAAAGTTTACTGAACTGGTGGTGCCTTGAATTAGCTGGATGGGGTGAGGTGAGAGAGAAGCAGGCTATTCAGGAATCAATTGCAATAAGCCAGGAGCGGTCCAGAGTGACAGTTGTAGAAACGAGATGAGGGGACATTTCAGACATTTTAGAAATCATTATTTTTTTTAAAGTGAAAAAAGAAACATAAGCAAGACCAAAGCATCATAAAAATTCTATTACATAGTGTAGAACAGTGTTAGTATGATCCCATTTCTGGAAAGAAAAAAAAAAGCTATAAAATGCAAAATATCATAGGAGGGATATGGAAGAAATAGATACCTCTGATTGTAGGGCATGGAAAAAGGATTGGGAGAGGTAGAGAGAGACTTGTCTCTGTGGTAGGCTGAACCACATGATTACCTATTGGCTAGTTAAAAGAATATATAATTTCTTCCTTACTGTCAACCACATAGGCAGAAAATTGGAAAAAGAAAAGGTTTTAGAGACAAGAGAGAGGTTCCATTCTAGCTCTGACTCTTCCTAACTGTGGGGTGTGGACAAACTAATTTCTTTTATTTTCTGTCCTCTTATTTGCAGAAATAGAGATAATACTGGCTAATTCCTGGATCACTATAACAATAATTAAAAGAATCCTACACAAAGCATCTGGTACAATACCTGGCATAGACTAAATACTCAATAAGTAGCAGCTATTTTATTATCAACAAAATTTCCTTGATATGAGTATAGTCTTAGAATAATAAAAGTTCCTCGATCTAGTTTCAGGTGTGCTCATTAGCTAATCTTATTCCTACATTAAAAATTTACATTGTACAAAACGACTAATGTAATCCATCTGATGAGCACTATCCATTACAGATCTGTTTCTAGAAATTTAAACTTAACATTATTTATCTGCCTTTCTACGTAGAGGTTAGTTTTTGTCTTTAAATGCTACTGACTCTATATTTACTGAAGTCGTGTATGCACAGAGGACTACTAAATACAAACTAGATGCCACAGGGCACCAAGAAAGAATAATAAGTCGCTACCCTCTAAGAACTGACAACCTCAGTGAGACAAACAGGTGTGACCTTCAAGTAACCATGTCCCAGATCTGGCAGAAGAGATGGAAATACTGGCAATGAAGCACCCAATTCTGGCCATGCATTTGCTGTAAGATGTCAAGTCACATGTTAGGAGAAGTTCACTCTGCAAACATTTTTTTTAGGTGGGTTTCCTCTGTATAATACTATGGCTAAAATCAATTGAGACTGTGGCAGCAACAGCATCCTAAGTGTTACAAAATAGTGGTCACTCTCAAAAGTCTTACTACACATTGTTTCAACAGTCACATCATAATTAAAGCATCATCAAACAAAAGTTTCTTTGTTATAGATTGAGATGAATAATTGCAAACCATTTTCATGTGAGATGTTCTGCCTCAGATCTGCCCCAGCCTGTAAAATGAAGAAGCCTTTGCAAAGAAAATAGCTGGGGTTTAAGAAATATTTTTGTGAAAGGCAGGAAATAATGATAAACATCTTCCAGGATTTCGGAAGTGTTGGTGAATGCTTCAAAAAAAAGAAAAAGAAAAAGAAAAAAAAGGCGTAAGGCCTGGGGAAAATGCATTTCACTTCATACACAGCACTATGGGGAGAAAGAATGGTGGGATGGATAACAAAAGCCATTCAGATCATTATTCAAATATTTCTCTTGAGAGAAACACCAATACCAGGCTGTAGAGAAACAACGACATAACATACACACTAATTTCTAAAGCTTGTACTGATGCTGTAAATGCTATGGACGTGCGCCTTGGAGGGATGACCGGCTTCATACAAGCCAGCAGGTCTATCTCCTGAGCCACCAGAAGGTCCACACTTGTATGTATGCCCCTAGCTACCCTATGCTCGAAGCCCCAGGGCACATATTACAGTGGAGGACGGGATCAAGAGGCTCCTCTACAGCTATGCACAGGCAGCAGCACCAGTTTCATATCCGTCCTCTTCCTCTCCCCTCCCTAATTCCATAAATCTCAAGATCAGAGTTACAAAGAGACTGGGAACTCCAGCAGAGCGCCGAGGCCCCCCCCCCTCCTCCAAGGAGCATTAGTGCCGTGCAAATTGCTTCCAAACATCCTTCGCAGGCACCGCAGGGCGAACCAGACCCGGTTTTCTTCTGCAGCTTCCACGGAGGCCAGAGGAGATGACAAGTGGCGTGCGTGTGTGTGTGGTGGTGGCGAGGGGGAGGCTTGCCCAAAGATAGCCACCTTCTCCCTGCCCAGCCCACCCCTCGCTCCCAGCCTCAGCCCCGGCCTCCG